GGTCAATACATCATTAACAAATTCAAGTAGTCAAATACATTATACTGCTACTTGTATAAATAATACTGCTACTTGTAGCAGTAGCAAACATCAATATGTTGAGATTGAAGTGTGATATACATTGAAAAGTATGTTTAAACATTATAAAACAATTGTATATACGGAAAGACCTTAAAAAGTACTTATTTGAATCTTAACTAGGCAAGCATTAATACATGTACCTAATGGAACAAGGATAAAATAAAATATTGATAAGGCCCTATAACGTTTTAAATTAACATTTGGTATAAGAATATACTTTGGTATAGAATATATATTTTACCTAAGAATTAAATGACAGATATGTATATGATGCTGAGTTGTTAATTAATGAAGACAGAGGGGTGAACTGTCTTGTGTGTGAATAAAGTAGAATATAGAAACCTAATAAAGAAAAAGTTATATTGTAATGTGGGGTCAATCTGTAATGTAACTTGAAATATTAGGTATGTTAGAAAATTGTAGAACAATTATATAGATGAGATGAAATACTTGCAACTGACTTAAAGAGAATATTTGGAAGGAAAAGAAATTTAGATCTACAGAGCTCCAATTACAAACCACAGGAGAATGTGCAAAAGGCTAGATAAAAGAATATTGTAATAGTGACTGGGTATATGGTAAATGTATTAGTGTTGATGACAATAGATTATATGATACTGTAATGTTGAAAGATCAGTGAATATTTGTAAGTTTATAACACTATCTAGAAGGTTATAGTTGTAAGATCTGATTAAATGTAAAATTTTTGGTTAATTATAATTTAATAAATCTATTTATGTAACAAGACAACATTTGGTACCCGGAAAAATATTTTTTTAATTGTTTTGTGTGTGGAAAGCATCTGACTGTAATATTATTTAAAATGAAGATATGGATGTAGTTCTGAAAAATTAACTGACGGGGAGAGGCATTAGACATAAAGAACAAAAGGTAGGTTAAGAGAAGTAATAAAGGGAGGAGGATGAAGAAAGAGTTTGACATATATACTTTAGGTACCTATTACAAGATTGAAAATTGACTTTAATGAAATATTAGACATATTACAAAAAATTCTCAAAGAACAAAGAAGAGATGGTTAGAAAGAGCTGAAAGTAAGAGAAGTTGTATAAGATATGGGTTATGAGAATAGTTGTTGACGATGGAAAGAAAGAAAATCTCGGTTGAATGACACATGACGATTGACGTAGTTGGGACTTTTTTACTTTTTTTACTATTTGCTAATCTTTGTACAGGTACATATTCTGGGATATTGAGATGTGTTTATGTTGCTTCAAATGTTAAGAGAAAGTGGTAGTGTTTTTCTTTTGGTGTGCTCTAGACAGCTTGATGACAGGTATAATTTTGCTAACATTTTATTTCTCTTTTAGGGACTTTGAAATATTTTCGGTTGTAAAATAGCTTAGGATATTGAGAGTCTTACATTGCCATGCACGGTATCTGTTTAAAACTTTAACATTACAACAACTTTTTACCAAATATGTAACAAATAACAAATTTTGTATCGTTTTAAGGGTTTTTACCCAAAGATTGGCTTGACTCATGTACAGGTAAGTATTTAACCACATTGCTTTTTAACCTTAGTCAAACTTTAATCTTTATGTTTGTATTCACCAAAGTGGTAATACTTATTGCAGGTAAATACACTGATGATTGACTTGTTAGACCGAAAACGATCTGTGATGTATAGTGTAAGTAAGAAATATTGTAGAAACTCTTTAAGAGCGGAACCCTTTGATCTAATATCTGATTACACTGACCCGACTGGTTCGCACAGACTTGAATTGGTCGGTGCGAAATATTTTAGTTTAGTTTAGTTGGGAAGCAGACTAGACTAGAGTGTAGGTGTGTTTGATGGAATTTAATTATTTTGAATAGTGATGTGGCGTCCCTGGGAGAATGTGGTTGAAAACATTGCTTTTAAAAATAATGATCATGTACAAAGTAACAGTGCCGGTGTGAATATAAATCCTGACAAAAAGGTACCTGTAAACAAGATTCGAATACATTTAAATGCTGAAACACAGCAAGTATGTTTGAATGTGTACAAAAATCTACATAAGAAATTCGGCTTCGATGAAAAACTGTTGGCACAAGCAACTTCCGATTTAACAGAAATTCCACTTTCAAGTATATACAAAATAGTTAAAAATGAACCCTATCATCGCAAAAAGCGATGTGACTACAAATGTTCAAGACCTATAGATGCTTCACTTATAAAACTATTGAAGACCACAATATACGATTGCTACAAAAGCAATGAAATACCTACAATAGAAATAATACGAAAGAAATTGAAAACAACCGGTTGGAATATGAAATGGTGTGATAAAACTCTTCAAAATTGGATAAAGAAAATGGGATTTAAATTTAAAACAATAAATAAACGTCAAGCAGTTATGGAAAGTCAAAGAATAGTCAACAGACGTAATATATATCTAGAACAAATTACAAAATATAGGCAAGAAAGTAGGCGAATTTACTATTTAGATGAAACTTGGTATGATACCCACGATACAGTTAAGAAAGGATGGACAGATGGTTCAAACATGTGCATATCAGAAATGCCTGCAAATAAAGGGTCGCGGCTAATTATTGTACATTGCGGAGGAAGTGAAGGTTGGGTTCCGAATGCTTTAAAATTATGTGGGAAGAAAATAGAAGATTGTAACGTTGACTACCACAAGAATATGGAAGCTGATATTTTTGAAGATTGGTTTGAAAACTCACTGATCCCAAACTTGGAGCCAAACAGTGTAATAGTGCTTGACAACGCTTCGTATCATTCCCGACAGCTCACTAAGATACCAAATTCATCTTCAAACAAAGCTGAACTGCAAAATTTTTTAATGGAAAATGATTTGTATTTCGAAGATTTTTATACAAAAAAACAACTCATTGAAGTTCTACACATAAAGAAATTTGAAAAATTATACGCCCTAGAGAATATTGCCGAAAAGCATGGACACACTATATTGAGACTTCCCCCCTATTTTTGTGTTTTCAATCCTATAGAGTTAATTTGGGACAATTAAAACCAAGTAGGTATAAGGCGTGCAAATACATTTCCTAAATTTGACAAGAAGGTAATTGAGATAATTAAAAAAGAAGTATCTAATATTACCAAAGAAGACTGGCAGAAAAGAATCGCCAAAGTAATCAAAGTTGAAGAATATTATAAGAAGATTGGCCACTTCCACATTAATGGTGGAAATAAATTTATTATTGATTTGAATGATGATAGTGACGTAGAAAATTCGAAAGAAGGAGAAAATGAATTAAGTGTATAAGTAATCTATGTGACTCAGACAAATTGTTGCCTCCATATTTCTATCGCCCATCGAAAAAAGTGACGTTATAAATTCGAGTAGCCGCTGTCCAGGGACGTATCGAGATATTGGTTGTTTTACTGATACAAATTTATTGATGTAAGTATTAAATCATAAAATTATAATGTGTAATATGTATAGTCAAAGAGCAGGGAAATCTGATTTTGAAAATAAAACAAAAGGTTATATTTCATTGTTTTTTAAATGGTTAAAAGTGTAATGTCAAAAAATTATATATCTGTCACCTTGTCGGAAAAACAACAAACAAAAAAAACATGATTGCTAGCGGCAGCTTTAATAATGAAAAGAATCTCGTTTTAAACTGACTTGAACTTGAACTGTTTACTTACGTTAATTTTAGATTTAACTTGTGTGTTAAAGTCTTAACATATTATCCTTAATAATTCTTTATTCTTTTCATTACAATCAATAAAGAAGAATACTTCTCGTTATCTTGTTAGCTCCAAACCTCCTCATCGGCAATATAAAAACCAGTATTTAACGACCACAAAACGTTTAATTCCATTTTTCAGTTGAGCTACCTGTTCAAAAGATTGTTTTGCTAACCCAGATAAGTATCATATTTCTTCGATAATTTATTATAAAAACAACACGTTTAATGTGTCCACAAAGGGAGACCAGTAAGGTGTATTTAGTTTCGGAACTTGTAAATAGGCAATAAATCTTCAGTTTATTGCTTTTTATGTATTTTTTGCTTGCAAATATATCGAAAAAACTAGCTTAAACGCCACTATATAGCACGAAGAAAAGTTCGTTTTCGACGTTAAAAATCGTTGGTACGTTGCAGAAAGGTCGTTATGACGGTTAAAATCGTCACAAGCTGGGATATTTTCTCCTATAAATAGTGGACTAGAGTAACATTTCGACAGAACAGTTTCGATTCAAGTAACGAACAAATATCACGACCCTATAACCATACCCATCGCATTTCGTAATCGCCAGTCAAATTCACGCGAAATAATTAAGCGTCTCTTCGTGAAACAGCAGAACAAAAAGTAAACTTAAGATAAATACGTAGTATTTTTGTAACAAGTGCAATAAGAAAATGAAGTGATTTTAATTTACACGACCATTTTCATTACCAGTTCAACTTATAACTTGCTTTCGACGAAGAATTGTTTAATCCAAGTCCACAAACTTGACCAGTTCCAACGTCGTCTGGCTCTCTATTTATGTTGTAGAGAAGGGACAATTCACAACATTCTGTTTTTATAAAGTTCTTTTAGTAACAATAAAGATAAAAATAGCAACAGTAATTACAAAAGCTATTCTACATCACTCAATGCAAGCATGCTGTAAGAGGGATGGTCACTGTAATGTCTCAGCCGCTGCGCTATATATTAAAGCAGAACTATCAAAATATCCAAATCGTTCATTTGAAGTATTCTATTATATACCTATATTACCGCTACTATAGCATAAAAGGGTCTTTTAAATATATACCTTTTATACAGGATTTTTAAATAAAACTTTTGTGATTTATGGTATACAGCCAACTAGGTACAGAAATTTCGTTTTCCTTATGGAATTACCTTATTTGTTTCCAATAAACAGAGTAACATTATATGTAAAGATTAGTTTAGTTTTGTACAAAAATACGAAAATACTCACCGGGATTCTGATCATAAGGGTAGTTGGCAACTAGTGCACCTTCGTGAAGTGCCGCAGACAATATAAATTTAGTATCTTTCATTAATTTTATTATTGCTTTCGTCTCCTTTGCTTGTTCTTGCTCTGGACTTGGCAGAAAGTAGTTGGGAAAGTCTCTATTTAAATCGATTTTGCTACCGTCGATTAAAACGAATCTGCCGGTAGCTCCGTCACAAACAGTCGCAGCATTGGCAAACCCGTCGGGATTTATTGTTGGAATTACGTGGAGTTTAGTGTTTTGAAGAAGCCAAAGCACTGTTTTGTTCTTTTGGCTGTATTGGTCTATCAAATACTACAACAATATTTATTTTATAAAAAATTGCAACTAGATTTGATAATTACGTATATAAATATCCAACAAAAAATACATTATAAATTACAATGCATATTATTTAGTACAAATAAATACAAATAACCACAAAGTCAAAAAGACTATGTAGTATGTTCGTATAGATAGTTAGAATGATGATATGTCACGTACCTAGTGTCAAAAAATAGGATTGTTTAATTCCAGACCGACAGAACCTGACATACCAAAGAAAATTATCTTAAATAATATGCGGTCAAGACCAAAACAAAAATTTATATATATATATATATATATATATATATATATATATATATATAGTAGTACTATATCATTATCAGCCCCTTCTAAGTCCACTGCAGGACATAGGCTTCCCTGTTTGTATTCAGAGTGCATGGTCTTGGGCTTGGTCAGAGCTACCCATTCGGTTAGCTTGCGCGTACACCTTCCATCCTTCATCCTTGAAAGAATGTGGTTGGTAATAAAAACTACTTGATATTTTAATAACACACAATATAAAACTATATATATATATATATATATATATATATATATATATATATATATATATATATATATATATATATATATATATATATATATATAGTAAACTCTTAAATATTGGGGAAATCTGCAAAAAAAAAACTCTAATGTGTATCAATTATTTCACCTAACGTTTTCGCCAAAGAGAATTTGGCTTCTTCAGGGCTGAAAGAGAATAAATTATAATTAGCTACCATATATTATCTAATAAAAAACATTTACCTTACCGTGAAATTTTAGAAATGTTGAGTTATTATGTTAAAAAACTTCAGCTAGTAACAACATAGTGGTGTTTTTTTGTTACTATGTGCAAAAAAGTTTATTTGTGAACGTTGGAAATGTATGGTAGCTTTGAACTTAAAACGCAAAGGTTTACCCAAGGACAATCGAAAAACCCAATGTAACTACATTTAAAGGAAGTAATTCTTTGAATTGTCGGCAATAACTAAATTTTTAATTGTTGTAAAGTTTGAATGTGAGCTTCTGTTTTCATAGAACGCAAGCGCCGAAACAATTACAAGTAGTTCTTTTGATATGAATGTCGTTAAGGTTCATTGGTAAAACCGATTAAGTTAGATCTCAGTCTGGGGAAATATTAGTTTAGAATTTCTAATTGAAATTCTTTTATTTTTAATTAGTAAATTGTTCATGTATTATTGTAATAATATCTTATTGAGATGTATCTAAGAAAAGCAAGGGAATGTTATCTTTTTTTGTTAATGAAAATTATTATTAAAGTAGGTTAGTTGTTAATAGATATATCAGTCAAGTTGGTTATCTGTGATGTTGTATTGTTCTTGGTATCTGATTTAAGTAAGAAGTGGTATATATCGCTTAGATTCTTAATGTCACTCTTAACATTGATGGAAAAATCGTTAAGGAAAATATGACATTTCAATGAACTCTCTTTTAGATTTATTGCTCTCACGGTGGAGAATTGTAGTGTTCGTATAGTCCATGTGATGACCAGTGGAATGGACATGCTTGGCTAATGCACAGCGGTCAGGGTGAAGTCGAGAATCACTTTTGTGTAGTGTAATACGTGATTTCAATAATTGAGATGTTTGGCCGATGTAGGAATTGTTGCAAGAGAGGCATGGAATGTTGTAGACATATGTCTACAACATTCCATGCCTCTCTTGCAACAATTCCTACATCGGCCAAACATCTCAATTATTGAAATCACGTATTACACTACACAAAAGTGATTCTCGACTTCACCCTGACCGCTGTGCATTAGCCAAACATGTCCATTCCACTGGTCATCACATGGACTATACGAACACTACAATTCTCCACCGTGAGAGCAATAAATCTAAAAGAGAGTTCATTGAAATGTCATATTTTCCTTAACGATTTTTCCATCAATGTTAAGAGTGACATTAAGAATCTAAGCGATATATACCACTTCTTACTTAAATCAGATACCAAGAACAATACAACATCACAGATAACCAACTTGACTGATATATCTATTAACAACTAACCTACTTTAATAATAATTTTCATTAACAAAAAAAGATAACATTCCCTTGCTTTTCTTAGATACATCTCAATAAGATATTATTACAATAATACATGAACAATTTACTAATTAAAAATAAAAGAATTTCAATTAGAAATTCTAAACTAATATTTCCCCAGACTGAGATCTAACTTAATCGGTTTTACCAATGAACCTTAACGACATTCATATCAAAAGAACTACTTGTAATTGTTTCGGCGCTTGCGTTCTATGAAAACAGAAGCTCACATTCAAACTTTACAACAATTAAAAATTTAGTTATTGCCGACAATTCAAAGAATTACTTCCTTTAAATGTAGTTACATTGGGTTTTTCGATTGTCCTTGGGTAAACCTTTGCGTTTTAAGTTCAAAGCTACCATACATTTCCAACGTTCACAAATAAACTTTTTTGCACATAGTAACAAAAAAACACCACTATGTTGTTACTAGCTGAAGTTTTTTAACATAATAACTCAACATTTCTAAAATTTCACGGTAAGGTAAATGTTTTTTATTAGATAATATATGGTAGCTAATTATAATTTATTCTCTTTCAGCCCTGAAGAAGCCAAATTCTCTTTGGCGAAAACGTTAGGTGAAATAATTGATACACATTAGAGTTTTTTTTTTTGCAGATTTCCCCAATATTTAAGAGTTTACTATATATATATATATATATATATATATATATATATATATATATATATATATATATATATATATATATATATATATATATATATAAATCTACCTCTATAAAATGTAATAAAATCTCCCTTCCTCCAGCTTCATTTCCGTGCATATTGCCAACCAATTTCACATTTGGAACGCCATATTGTGACTTCTTCGCCGCTGTTAGCTCTAAAACCCACAACGGTACTGGATTTGCTAAAAAGAAACAAATTTAAACTAGTTTGATACAAAATTTAAACTAATATATTAAGCTTTTATTATTGATAATTAAGTTTGTTTAAAGTACTAAAATTCCTGTCAACTTTATTTATCCTTGTGCGCTATCTCGGAAATAACAGATCAGAAACATAATAATGTTTTCTGTACCATAATAATGTTTTCTGTACCATGTTGTACCGGCTTGTTTCTTTATTTCACAGTCTCATCTTAAATTTGGACGTTTTCTTGGTCTCTTTAGGCCTCTTGGATTCTTCTTCTTATGGCGCCGTCTCCTTTCGAAGGTTGGCGATCCAAATGGCAATTGTAGTTTTGGAAACTGCTGCGCGAAAGATTTCTGCAGATGAGCGGTCGAACTATCTCCTGAGGTCTTTCAGCCACGAGTTCTGGCGCCTTTCGACTGATCTTTTGCACTGTACTTTTTCTTCAAGTATAATTTGAAGTAATTCATGTCTTTCGCCTCTCAACACATGACCCAAGTATTGCATTTTCCTTTCTTTGATTATTCTTAGTATTTCTTTTTATTTACACATGCGACGAAGTGCCTTATTACCCATGAAATTCTCAACATTCGTCTGTATATATACATCTCAAAGGCATCTATTCTTTTTCTATTTCATTTTCTATTTCACAGCCATACAGTAAGACAGAAAAAACTTAACATCTGATCATTCGGATTCTAAGCTGCAGACTAAGGTCTGATCTTGTAGAAAATGTTTTCATGCTCATGAATGTTTTCCTTGCTTGTTCGATTCATGATAAGATTTCTTTTTTAGATTACACTTATTATTGATATTTACTGCCAAATATTTTATGGAATTTACCTGTTCTATTATTTGACCCTTGGCATACACATGTTGTCTTTGAAAATACTAAAGTTTTAGTTTTGGAAACGTTTAGATGTAAACCAAACATTTCGCTGTGGTGAACTACCGCATTTATTATATTTTGTAGTTATTGTGCGTTGCTTGCTATTAAGACGGTAACATCAGCATATTTGATATTGTCTGATATGCTGATTCCGGTAATCTTAATTCCGCCTTGGACCTCATCTAATGCTTCTCTGAATATAGACTCTGAACACAAATTAAACAGTAGAGGTAATAAGACACAATCCTGTCTCGCTCCTCGTCGGATTTGTATATCTTCAGATGTTGTGTGCTCTATTTCAATTGTTGCCGTTTGGTGCCAGTATAGCTCTGAGATAATTCGCAAGTCTTGTTCGTCAACTCCAGTTGTTCTCAGAATTTCGATCATCTTTTGATGGTTAACGCAGTCAAATTCTTTTCGATAGTCAATAAAACATGCATATACATCTACATTCATGTCTCTGTATCGTTGCGTTAACACATTTAAGCCAAAAGAGCCTCTAGTGTTCCCAATCCGTTTCGAAATCCGAATTGAGTGTCACTCATCTGGAACTCGCACTTCTTGTAAATTCTTGTATGGATAATTCTGAGAAAAGTTCTAAGGACATTAGACATCAAGCTTAATATTCGATAATAGTCTGTTGGTATTTTACCTGTGTCATATTATCTTATTGAATAGTGCTGTTATTAAGTCTAGGCTTTTACTTTCGTTATCTGCAATTAGTTGTAGTATTTCGACATTGATATTGTTTGGACCGGTGGCTTTTCCATTTTTCTAAAACTTCAGTTGGTAGAAGAAGCGTAGGAAGACGAAAAATCTCGTGGCTACGCAATCTCCGTGAATGGTTTGGATGCAGTTCAATTGAACTATTCAGGCGAGTAACCAATAAAATTATAATTGCCAGAATGATTTCCAATCTCCGATAGGAGTGGAACTTAAAGAAGAAGGAGAAAACTTTACTGCGTGAATCATTTCTTCTTTGGTTATTTCTGGGCCTTTTTCGTTTATTCGATTATCTGTGGATGGTGGAGAACAAGGTCTATCGTCGTCAAAAAGAGACATGTATTCCTTTTATCTCTCTAGTTTGTCTTCTGTGCACATAATTATTTCGTTATTATCATTTTTTAATATTGTTGCTTGTCTCTTTTTGCGTCTACTACATTTCTTTTCCTTTTTTATGAATATTAAAGGTTTCGTATTCTTCCTGAAGTTGTTCGATTTCTAGGCATTTTGTTGACATCCAGTTTTCTTTCGCCTCTCTGCACTTTTTTCTAATGATTTTATTGACTCGCTTGTATTCTATTGGGCTTGTTTTATGTTTTGATCTTACGTCCATGAGGTCCATGATGTCTTGCGTTATACATTCTTGCTTTTTTTTTTGTTGTGTTTTATGAACCTGATGTCTTCTTTTAGTATCTTTGATATTTTTGTTATTAGAGCAGTCCAGGTTACTTCAATGTCTGTCTGTAAGTTTGATACTTATTTCTTTTTTCTGTTCAGGGTTCTTCAGTTGTGAGATGTCTATTTTTCTTGTCACTGTTTTCTTTTTAACTTTGAGAAATCTTTTTAATCTAAAATCCATTACTGGATACTACAACTGGATTGTGATCACTATGTATATTAGCTCCAGTGTATGTTATTGTAGATGTAGATTATATGTGCTTCTTAAAGGTGTTATTGAGCAAAATGAAGTCAATTTGATTTCTAACAATTCTGTCTTATGTCTGCAGGTGATTTCCATGTATATAGCTTTCTAGGATGTTGTTTGAAGGTTTCAGCTATTAACATCACAACTATTAACATTATATAATAAACAGATTGTTTTCTATGCAGAATTGTAAAATCTATCTCCTCTTATTATTCCTGGTAATAATATTTAGTTTTCTGTGAGTTGTTTGTAATTTCAACATTGCTACTCTATCATTTAGAGGGATGAAGTCTGTGACTGATTAAGCAATAATATAGCAGTTCCATATTGATGTTCTGGGTCGGTTCCACCTGAATAATATATGTATCCATGTTTTATTTTTTGTACTCCTGAACCAGGCCATCTTACTTCACTATTCCCTAAGATGTCTATTTTCAGTCTTACCATCTTGGCTTCAGTGTTTGCCAGTTTCCCGGACATAAATAAGGTGCATACGTTCCAGGTGGCAATGCGTACTATTCGGTCGTATATTTGTATTCTCTGTCCACTTTCTTGGGTAGTTGACAGGAGGATTCTTCGCACCCTCTCCCCAATTAAGGGATGCCCCGGACTGAGGGCCATTTTCTTTTTATCGTCTGTCATTTAGAATTGTGGAAAATATAATGGGGTGGTTTTCCCGTTGCCTTCCCCATCGCAGTCCACAACCATTTAAACTGCTCCAGTCATGCTTGTGGTAATCCAGTTTCAAGCCGATCCAGAATTATTTCCTCTGCACCTTGAACCTGTACTGATGATCGCTGCTGCCCTTCACCAGAGAGGGATTGGATGTAGGAAACAAGATTTTGGAAGGATAAAGGAATGGGACATGATTTCTCTCAGTAAGGAATTAAGAGCATAAGCATGGCTTGCGTGGGCAGGGACGCTTCCTTAAAGTAGACCTATTTTCCACCAGGATTGTAGAAAAATGTCTACCCGCTATCCGGATACCTCTTCTTTGATACCATGGTGTAATTATAGTGGACCATCTATTATCAATTTTTTTCCCTAAATGTCTCGCTCACTGTCATTTTAAAGATTTAATTCTTCGGATTACATCAGAGACCTTCACTTTCTGTCTGATCCACTCAATTTTTTTTTCGATCGCATGAATCGCTAAATAGAACTTTGAGTGACTTTGAGTTTCGCTATTATCTCTTTCTTTAGTGTCAAACTTTCGCAGCCGTATGTTATGATTGGTAGTATACACTGATCGAATGCTTTTTTCTTCAGGCGGAGTGGCATTTTCGATTTGAATATAAATGCATTTCTATCAAAAGATGTCCAAGCCAGTTTCATTCTTTAATTGATTCCGATGTACGTTTTAGCGAAGGAAAGAGGAAGAATATACTAGAGAAGAAATGAAGACTATGATTCCTAATCTGTAAAGATAGATGGACTTCAGGTATCGGCGATTAAATTACTTTCTGACGCAGATACTCAGAGGACATGGTTGCTTCTGGGCATAGCTTTACATATTTGGAAAGGCAGAAAATGACAAATGCCTGTACTGTGAATACAATCAGTCAAGGAACTGGTGAAATTAGGTGGACTGGTGTTAAGGTCGTCAGATCGGTGGAGAGCAGTTCAGAGATATGTGACGAGAATATTGGAGATAAGTAAACAAGAAGAGATGTGACCCGAAGGGAGGCAGGGTGCCCAAAAGTAAGCAAGAAGATAAGGCAGAATAAAAAGGAGCGAGATTGAACATGAACAAAGAAAAACTGAGGGAGAGAAGAATTCAGTCGTAGTGAGAAAGTGCGAGAATGGTGTGAATTGTGCGTAAATGAAGTATTTTTATTTACAAGAAACCGACAAACTCAAGAAGTAAAAAAGATTCTATTTAAAAGTTTACGGTCAGGAAATAACAAACTATATCTCTATATAGAGAGCTAGGAAGGATGGATCAATCAGTCAAGGAACTGGTGGAATTAGGTGGACTGGTGTTGAGGTCGTCAGATCGGTGGAGAGCAGTTCAGAAATATGTGACGAAAATATTGCAGATAAGTAAACAAGAAGACAGGTAACCCGAAGGGAGGCAGTGTGCCCAAAAGCAAGCAAGAAGAAAGGCAGAATGAGAAGGGACGAGATTGAACATGAACAGGGAGGAACTGAGGGAGAGAATAATTCAGTCGTAGTGAGAAAGTGCGAGAATCGTGTGAATTGTGCGTGAATGAAGTATTTTTATTTACAACAAACCGACAAACACAAGAAATAAAAAAGGTTCTATTTTAAAAGTTTACGGTCAGGAAATAACAAACTATATAGGTACATATATATATATATATATATATATATATATATATATATATATATATATATATAAATATATATATATATATATATATATATATATATATATATAAATATATATATATATATATATATATATATATATATATATAAATAATTATGGCTTAAATGG